CAGGCGCTGCCTGCTTCTCAGTCCTGGTTATCAGAGCTCAGGGTGGGGAAGCAGCCAGCTGGGTGGGACCATGCTAAACCCTGGGTGGCAGCCGGCCACTCCACTTTCAAGTGGGGAATAGGAGGAGATTCTGTCACCAGCATCCAGGGTAGCAGCTGCTGAGCCCTCCCTGGTGAGAACAATTCAGGGGGAGGCGGGTAGGAATGTGGGCCCAGTGCCAGGCCCTGCAGCCTCCCTCTGGTGCTGGAGAAGAGTGCTGAGCTCCCAGCCCAGGTGCTTTGCTGCTTGCTTGCCCTGCTGAACGGAATTGGTCTTGCCGAGGAGGCCCCAAGCAGATCTCCCAGCTCAGCCTCCCCCAGCTGTGCAAGTTTGAGAGGGTGGGATCCGGGCCGGCGCCTGTGGCTCAAAGGAGTAAGGCACTGGCCCCATATGCTGGAGGTGGCGGGTTCAAGCCCAGCCCTGGTCAAAAAAACTGCAAAAAAAAAAAAAGAGAGAGAGAGAGAGAGAGAATGTGGGACCCTCCATGAGCCTGGGAAGAAGAAGGAAACTAGGAGAAGGGAAACTTCTAGCTGTTGGGATCCTGCAGTCTGCCAGCTATGTGACCCCGGTTTGGTCACTGCCCACCCTCTCTGGGTCCCAATTTCCCTGTGTAATATGAAGCTGGTAGACCAGGCGATCTGGATGGATCTTGTGAGCTGACCTCAGTTTCTGGATCCTCTGAACCTCCTACAACCTCTGTTCCAGCTCAGGAAAAGGGCAGATGGATGGGAGGGCCTCCCCTGCCGGGCAGATGGATGGGAGGGCCTGTTTCCAGAAGTTCCATCTTAGACCCTCTCCCTCACGTTGCCGTACATTCCCCCACTGCCAGCACAGCAACAGTCTCCTCCTTTTGTCACTCCCCCCTCCCCTTCCAGAGGAGGAAAAGAAGCTCCCCAGGATGCTGGGCCTTTGAATCAGGCCCAGCAAAGGAGAAATGGGACTTCAGAGGAGGGGGGGGATGCTGGAGGGAGCCCTGGGTCATCTTGTCTACCCTCCCTCCAGGCCAAGCCACAACAGGGCTCTCCTCCCAGCCTTGTACCGTCAGGACTGCAGCCTGTGGGAGAAGCTGGTGCTTATTTTATCATTATTCCTAGTGTCATCACCATTTTTATATTGTACATGGAAAGTACTCAACATAGTATCTGGCACAGAGAAACGTCTTGATATAACAGCTGCTGTTAATAACAGGTTTTGTGCACCTGCTATACGTTAGGCATTTTATATCCATAATATAATTTACTCTTTAATAATCTTAAGGGTAGGCTGGGAGCCCATAGCTTAGTGGTTAGGGCACCAGCCACATGCACTGGGGCTGGTGGGTTCAAACCCTGCCCCAGCCTGCTAAACAAAAAATAACAATAATAATCTTAAGGGTAGATATTAACAATGATATTACATGGTTATTATTATGAGAGTGTGTTTTAAATGCTTGCTCTGGGCTAGGCTCTGTGCAAAGGGTCTGCTTGTATCGACTCTTTGAATCTTCACCTCGGTCCTGAGATGAGTTCTTTGATCTCCATGGCAAACATGGGGAAATTGAAGTTTATAGGGTTAGATGACTTTCCCATGGTCACACAGCCAGCAGGTGGCAGAGCTCGGTTTGGACCCAGGTCAGTCTCAGCACAGTTGAGGTCAGCACAAACCTTCAAGACCATCTTCTTTTTTTTTTTTGAGACAGAGCCTCAAGCCGTCCCCCTGGGTAGAGTGCCGTGGCATTACAGCTCACAGCAACCTCCAACTCCTGGGCTCAAGCCAGTCTCCTGCCTCTGCCTCCCAAGTAGCTGGGACCACAGGCGCCCGCCACAACGCCCGGCTATTTTTTGGTTGCAGCCGTCACTGTTGTTTGGCGGGTCCGGGCTGGGGATTCGAACCCGCCACCTTAGGTGTACATGGCTGGCGCCTTAGCCGGTTGAGCTATAGGCGCCGAGCCTCAAGACCATCTTCAATCAAGTCAACCCAGAATCTGGCCGCTCCCCTACCTCAGACCATGTCAGAGCCCAGGGCACATGGTGGATATCTGTTCCCCAAGCGTCTCATGAGTCACGTCTGGGGGCCCCATCTCCTCCTCCAGCACCTGGCTTCTCCCAGCCCTCTGTCACCTGCCCTTGTTATTGATTCATTGGCACTGTGGCCAGCCCCTACATCGTCCCCTGGGGTCCAGAGCTGCCTGGGATGGAGCCCAGCCCCAGTAATTGATTGGCATTTGATTGATATGGGCAGTGGTTCAAACCACAGTTTGAGCTGTGGCCCAGCCAGGCCTTCGAGCTGCCAGAGACAGAGAAATCCAGAGCCCAAGTTTTTGTCCAAGTTTGGATACTTTACCTGCACTTCCTCTGAGCTGCCAGGGGAAACCTGTCTTTTTGAGCAGTCAGTAAAGCTGGGGTTCAGAGTAGCAGGCGGGATGGGAGAGGGGGCAGGGCAGAGAGCCCACAGAGCTGGGGTCTGAACCCTCCTTCCGTAATCAGGACTGGCCAGAATTGCCGAGAACTTGGGTGGTAGGGGTGGCAGCTGCTATTTATGGAGCTGGCTTCATGTGCCCAGCACTTCGCTGAGTGCTTGGCATGGATGAGCTTGGGCATTCCTCGCAGTGACTCTGAGAGAGGCACCGTAACATCAGGGTCTCTCAGCCTGGGCGCTGATGGCATTTGGGGAGATCCTTCTCTGCAGCGGGGACTGCCCCGTGCACTGTAAGGTGTAGATCAGCTTCCCTGACCTCTGCCCACCAGATGTCAGTAACAGTCCCCTCCCTGAGTATGACAACCATAATATCTCCAGACCTCACCAAATGTGTCCCCTGCATTGGGTGGGTGGCAAACCCAGGCAGTGTGACCCCAGGGCCCTAACACATCATCACTGACTTTCCCTGGAGCCCAGGTTCAGAAAGGGCCTTTGCTTTCCTGTGGGGCACTGAGGAGGGCAGTCTCTATGACTTAGGAAGGACTGACCCATCAGCAGGCTTCTCTGCACAGGGCTGAGGAACAGCTCCAGAGATGGCCCCTGCAGGCCCAGGTGGATGCTGAACTGTGGGACTTTGGCCTGCCTGCTCCTCTGAGTCTCACATCCTGTAACCCCCCCACAGGGGCCACTGTCCATAGAAATGTCTGGCTTATCTGCCCTAAGCCCAGCCCCCAACCCTGATGGCAAAAAAGGCCTCAGGACCCCGTGTTCCCTCCAGGGCTCTCAAGACCGATCTTTCCTATGCTGTGTGGCTTCCAGCCACTGACTCACTTGCTCGTGAACTATTTATACCCCTTGTACAAATGCTCCCTTCAGCGCTCCAGGCAGACGTCTGCCTTCTGCCACAGCCCAGGACGTGGGGGAGGGGGTGGGCACAGAGCAAATGATTGGGTTTATGAGCCCCACAGACCCGGGGTGGGAGCCTAGTTCCTTCCTTACAGCTGTGTGACCTTGGGCAGGTCGCTGAACCTCTCTGAGCCTCTATTACAAGGATTAAAATAAAGTTCCCAGCACAAAGGCAGATTTCAGCAAGTGGATGCTATTGGATGTTCAAAGGCATAACTAGAGAAGGACACAGGAATGAGATGTGTGTTCGTGTAGCATCTCAAGTCCCTGGGACATAGATGTCTGAAAACCTGGTCACACTGCTGTCACCAACACTGTCATTCAGCCAGCTTGAGGCCTTGGGGGTTGCACAAGGGTTTTTTCGATACAGAAAAGCCTGTTTTACCAACCCTGAGACAACTGTCCCCAGCTGTCCCAGGACATAGGCAGAGCAGGCCTGTGGTTAACCTGATAAAGAAGGTTTAGCTGGGCTGTGCAAACAGTGCCCTTGTCCACCAGCCAGTGTGCTCCAGGCACCAGTGACACCTCCCCAATTAGGGGATGGGCCTAGAGGTCAGTGCATTTAGACTCTGCCTTGCACCCCATCCCCCATCCTGACTCTGCCAGGCCGTTCCTTGCTGGCCGTTCCTTCTGTCTGTAGGACAGAAGCATGTCATCAGCTGTCAGGCCAGATCGCCACCACTCCCTGCACGCTGTTACCCAAACACACCCCAGGCCTCCTCCTGTGACCCCGACCCTGCTTTCTACCTCCCCTCTGGGCCATGCACTCAACAAAGGCAAGACCCTGTCTCAGCTATCCCTTCATTCATTTATGTATTACTTATTCAGTCTTTTGGGGGGGTACCTACTGTGTGTTTATATCCTGCCTCCCAGTACCTACAATAAGCTGAGACTGTAAAGTAGGCGCCCCAGGATGGAGGGTGCTCAGTGAGAAGGGGCATTTTCTACACGGAAAGAGGCTGCCTTCTCCATCACACCCACCGTTCCGGTGCTTCTCAACTGGGAATGATTTTGCCACTCAGGAGACATTTGGTGATGTGTGGGAAACGTTTTTTGCTGTCACAACTCAGGGGGGATGCTACTCTATAAACATCTACAATGCACAGGACAGTCCCCCGCCCCCACGTACACAGCAAGGAATTATCCTGCCCAAAATGTTGGTGCTCTGAGTTTGAGAAACCCTGCCCTTGCCTGCAAGGCTCTGCCACCTAGGGTGGAGCCGAGATGTTCCCCAGGTACCCGTGAAGATGCTGGTCAGCCGGCTGGTCCTGGAGATGGTCAGCGAGTGCTGACCTCACAACTAGACCTACTCTCCCTAGGGGACTGTAAATTCCTTCTCACTGCTTGTCCACATCATCACAGTCAGGAAGGCTGTGGTTTCAGTTTCCCTGTGCTTCAGGCTTGGCCAAAAATTAGCACTGTTCAACATGTAGGAGGCTGCCAGGACACGTAGTGAGTTCCCCATCATCAGAGGTAACCGAGCAGGAGTGGGGCCACATACCAGAACTGTATCTGGGCTCAGGTCCCTTCCCACTGTGACAGGAGGACATGGCTGAGGGGAAGTGTCCTCTGAGCCCCCAGACTCGTTTATGGCCTTTCTGTCTGGACAGGAGTGAGTTGTACCAAAAAGTCCTTAGGCCTCTCTCTTGTACCCACAGGTATGACGCTGGGCGGGATGGCTTCATTGACCTGATGGAACTCAAGCTCATGATGGAGAAACTTGGGGCTCCCCAGACACACCTGGGTCTGAAAAACATGATCAAGGAGGTGGATGAGGACTTTGACAGCAAGCTTAGCTTCCGGGAGGTAAGCCCTGCCCCCAGCCCCACTTCCCATCAGGGGCTACACCTGAGAACGTGGTGGCCAGGGAGAGACTATCCCCACTTTGTCATTGAATGACATTGTCATTGAACAGCAGCTGTGAATGCCTCATGTTTGGCTGGGTGAGGCTTCAGAGGGCCTTGCACAGAGGCTCTGGGGTCACACACACAGTGTTCCAAGGAGCGTGGTACACAGAGGGACAGACACCAAAGGGAAACTAACACAGGGATAGAGGGGTTCCAGGCACTGCTGGTGACCTCACGCCTGGGATGTCACTCTGAGACAGGAGCTGTGGGCAGGCCTGTCTGGTGAAGAGGAAGGGAAGACTGAAAGCAGCCCAGGGTTAGGGCAGGCCTGAGGGAACCAGCAGGAAGGAGGCAGGGAACAAGGGAGGTGGCAGGGGCCAGTAGAAGAGATGAGTGGCTGGAAGGGAGGTGTGGGCAGTACAGGGAAACCGTTTGAAGTCGAAGGACACAGGGTCAAATCTTTTGGTACTTTCCTGTGCCGAGACTTTGGGCAAGTCTTTTACTGCTGCTGATCCTTCCTCATTCTGCAATATGGACTCAATCCTAGTGCCTTTAGGACTCAGTGTATGGAATGTAGAGCAGATTTGTTTGGGGAGCAGTGGTTGAGAGAGAAAAGAGGTCATGGCTGTGTTGTTGGGAGTTGGGTGGGGATGAGGACTGCAGTAACCCAGCTTCCTAGGCCAGCCGAGTCACCTAGACTCCCATTATACAGATGGACAAACCAAGGCCCAGAGAGGGCGTGGCACAGGAGCACTGAGGGGTGGCCTGGGTGTGGCTGGGGACTTGGGCTCCCTTCCCTCCCTCCTCATGTCATGTGTCTGTCCCGGCTGCAGTTCCTCCTGATTTTCCGCAAGGCAGCTGCCGGGGAGCTGCAGGAGGACAGCGGGCTCTGTGTGCTGGCCCGCCTCTCTGAGATTGACGTCTCCAGCGAGGGTGTCAAAGGGGCCAAGAGCTTCTTCGAAGCCAAGGTGAGGAGCCCAGGGGTTACCCTGACCCCAGCTCGAGGACAGAGTACCTCAATGGTTAACATGTCCCCTTCCTGTCCCTGCCAAGACTGTAGACAGGAGCTAATCTCTGCTAGCTGAGTGACACCCACCGTGCCCCTGGCTCCTGTCCCCTCTGGTCCAGGCTGTCATCCCTCCCAGTCACCCCTTTCTCACCTGCCAAAGGGATTGGCAAGGGGTGTGTACTCTGGGAAGAGGGGACAGGAACATTGTAAACTGCCCCAGTCCTAACATTGCAAGTGTTACCCCAAAGGACCATGGCAGAGAAAGGTGAGGGTCTGGGACATAGCAACACACACCCAGAAACAGGAGGGGCTCCCCAGGGGTCTCAGAGATGCCACCCCTGCCGGCTTCAGCCTGGAGGAAGAATGCACAACACCGCCCCTTTCAGCACATGGCTTAGGTGGAGGGAACAGGTCTGGTGTAGTGGCTCCTCGGTCCTGCCTACTCAGGGACCCAGGGCACCTACCTTTTCTTATTTCATGTTAAGCTAAGAATATTCCTTCCAGAGGCCACCTCTGCCTCCCTCTGGCCTTCTAAGCATTGATGGAACATTTCGGGGTTCATCAATGGAATGGGGTGTACAGTGGACTCCCCAGGTAGAAAATAGGGTATAGCATCAGGAGCCCCACTAACAGACCCCTGGCTCTGCACAGCCACTGAATATATGTTATCTCTCCAGTTCCCCCCCCACCATGGAGTCCATAAGGTCAGAGTTAGGATTCTTTTTTTTTGAGACAGAGCCTCAAGCTGTCCCCCTGGGTAGAGTGCCGTGGCATCACAGCTCACAGCAACCTCCAACTCCTGGGCTCAAGTGAGTCTCCTGCCTCCGCCTCCCAAGTAGCTGGGACCACAGGCGCCCACCACAACGCCCGGCTATTTTTTTTTTTTGGTTGCAGCCATCATTGTTGTTTGGCGGGCCTGGGCTGGATTCGAACCCGCCACCTTAGGTGTATATGGCTGGTGCCTTAGCCACTTGAGCCACAGGCGCCGAGCCGGAAGCGCCAGATTCTAAGTGGAGAAACTGAGACTCCCAAGAAGTGAATGAATGGCCAGGGCTGGTGAGGCTGAGCTGTACACGTTGCCTGGTGGGACCAGCCTGAGCCAGGAGGGTCCTCAGGGCAGAAGACACAGCACTGAAGCCCCCTACCCCCATCAGCTCTGACCCCCTACCCCAATGTCCCCACAGGTCCAGGCCATCAATGAGTCCACCCGCTTTGAGGAGGAGATCAAGGCGGAGCAGGAGGAGAGGAAGAAGCAGGCAGAGGAGATGAAGCAGCGAAAGGCCGCCTTCAAGGAGCTGCAGTCCACCTTCAAGTAGCAGGGCCATGGCCAACCGCCCTACCAGGCCCCAGTGCCCAGGCCTGAAGGCAAGGGTGGGTGCATGGGAGGCCAAGCCTAAATCCTTGCCCTATCTCACGGGACCACTACCAAACTAAAAATGTCTGTGAAAGGGGCCACATGAGGGCTCCCCCAGAAGTGGCCCAGCCACTCCCTGCTCCTCCTACTGTTCCTGAGGCCACCACACCAGCACCGGCTCCCTGCCCGGCCCTCCCTGGCGGTCCCTGCAGCTCTCACACCCCAGCTGCCCTGCTGCCTGCTCTCCCGCACTGCTCCAGCCCTGCCCCGTGGGTCTGCCCTCCACACACACCCCTCCATGCCCAGGGGCCACCTGCCCTCAGCTAGCAGGCTGCACTGCTGCCTCTCAGATGGAAAGAACTGTGGCCACCCCTATGGAGTGGGGTGTGAGGGGCCCCTTCCCCAGAACTTTTTCTCCCACCTCTGCCTCCTCTGTCTGCCGGAGTGGGGGGCTCTGTGTCAGTGAAGGGACCACTCCATGCTGACATGGAGACTCTAGGTCTCTGGGGCCCAGCCAGGCAAGGTGAGGGACAGCTGTGCCGATCTACCTCACGGGCCCACCCTCTGCCAAGCATGCCACGCCATCATGGCAAGGAAGGCTCCAGAGGCAGAGACTAGAAGACCCCAGCATACCCTGAGGGGTGCAGGGGGCTCTGCAGAAGGTGGGGTGGGAGGAGGACTTGGCGCCTTCACAAGGGAGGAAGCCAGCGTTTCACCTTGCTTCTCCTAGAAGGGTCCAAGAAGTGCTTTACGTGTCTTTGCATGCCCTGGGCAGGGGGCAGGGGCCCCTGCTCAGCCCTCCCACACCTTCCTTCCCTGAGTGATGTTACTGCCTTGTCACCAGCGATGGGACCTGCCTGCCATGCCCTCCCCAAGGAGGCATGGGGACCCCAGCCCCCCACGCCACCAGCCCGGTTCTGCCGCAGCACGTGTGTCCATGTGCTTGCTTGTATGTGTGTGTGTCCATTGCTGTGTCGTGAAGCTGTGACCGTCACCCAGTCCAAACCAGTGCATGGCCCTCGAGGCCACAGTTATGCAACTTTCAGTGTGTGTCATAACAGCGTCACTGCTTTTTAAACTCAATAACTCTTTATTTTAGTAAAATGCCCCAGGAGCCCACGAAGCTCTGTTGGACTTGCAGAGGTTTTATTTTTTTGGCCTTAGAATCTACAGGACTTAGGAGGTACCGAGCCCAGCGCGGGAGCCTTGGCCCTGGATTGCGTTTGCCTTAGCAGATATGTTTATACAGAAGAATATAAATTTTTCTTTTGGCTTTTGCTATTTTTTTCCTCCCTTCTCACCCTACCCCCACCCCAAAAAGCTACTTCTTCATTCAGTGGTACGATTATTTTTTTTAACTAAAATAAGATAAAATTCTATATTCTTATGTGTGTGTGGTTCTTGATAGTGAGGCAGGGGAGGGACTGGGGAAGGAAAGGACGGGAGCAAGGCTGTCCCCTGCTCAGATGGTCATGTCAGAGTCTGGGAGAAGGAGGAGGGATTCCCATGAGAGAGGCTGCAGTTTGATACCCACGTGCTGTCACCAGGCACTAGGCTAGCGCTTTGCACAGATTAATTTATTTGAATACAACCAGCCATGAAGAGGGCTGTTCCTCTTTTGCAGTTAAGAACGGGGAGGCTGCAGAGTCTCCCAGAGGCACACGAGGCGGCAGGCTCCTCCACCAACCAGCCTACAGAGCAGACAGAAGGGACTGCCGCTCCTCGGGGCATAGAACACAACATTGTGACCGAGAGTGGCATCAAGGCTCCAGGCGGCTTTTGGATTGCTGCACCCTACAGCCCCGCAGGGGACCCCTGCCACTCACACCCTGGGGTAGGGTGGACACCAGCAGCTCCCTCTGTGGCTTTGGACAGATCATCCACGCGGTGTCAGTCTCCCCATCTGCTCAGTGTGAGGGTGGGCTAGGTTCTGGGGTCTCTCCAGCTCGATGATTCCAGGTAGGGCGCCCCACCCCCGCTCCCGCTGGGCACACCCCGAAGCCGGGTTAGGGAGCCAGAGTTTCGGATTGGGCTGGCCGTGGCTGCCCCCGGGTGGCCATGGCTGGTACTACAGCAGCCCGATGCCCTTGGAGTCCTGGGCTTCCTCACTCGCCTTGCCTCGGGGAGGCCAGAGTCCTGGAAGTGCATTTCCTGGATACGCCCTGTCTACGTGCACTGCCTCTTAGTACCCCTCCCCCAAGGGAAGAACATGGGAATCCCCAGCATCTTATCGTAAGGGGCCTCAAGAACAAGGCACGAGGCTCGGCGCCTCTAGCTCAGTGGCTAGGGTGCCCCACATACACTGGAACTAGCAAGTTCAAACCCAGTCCAGGCCTGCCAAACAACAATGACAACTACAACAAGAAAAATAGCCAGGGAGGTTGTGGCAGGTGCCTGTAGTCCCAGCTACTTGGGAGGCTGAGGCAAGAGAATTGCTTAAGCCCAAAAGTTTGAGGTTGCTGTGAGCGGTGATGCTACAGCACTCTACCAAGGGCAGCATAGACTCTGTCTCCAAAAAAAAGACACGAAGGATGCTAGAAGGGCTAGAAGGGACAGGGTTGTTCCAGCTGCTGAGCTCAAGCCCCACTGGCCTTGTGGGGCATGGGCCTCAGGGCCTGGGAACCAAGAGACAGGGACCAGCTGTCCTGTGCCAGGGCCTCCATCAGCAGGCCTCAGCACACCAGGGCTCCCAGCCTGGCAGAGGAAGCAGATTGAGGAACCAAGAGGTGCAGAGAGATCCAGGGACCAAGAGAGATGGTTCCTTAAAACCCTCCCTGCACAGAGTCCTGGTCCTATCACCAACCACCAAACCCCCTCTTAGTCCTCCAGCCCCTCCTGCGCGCCAACCCCCTGCTGAGCACCAACCACTCGTTGAGCCTCCCAACCGGCTCTAAGCCCCACTGCTTCCATCTGGTTTTGAGAAGCCCTGCCAGGCCCTCAGCTGACCCTTTAGCGGGCCTCACCCAACACAGAGCAGCTGCCTCCTGAGAGTCCCATTCTGGAGCCAGGGAACTTGGGCCCCAATCAGTAGCACCTGCCGCTTTTCTCAGGCTCTCAGCCCATTTCCCCCACCTTGGCATTGCTCCTTCTGAGGCCCCAGGGTACCCTCCGACCATGTCCCCCCATCCCCACCCCCAGACTGGCTTTCGCTGAGTCACCTATGGTTATTTTTCCAGCAAAGTTGGCCCTGAGTGGCCCAGGGACTCTGAAGTTGCAGGTCATGGGAGGCCCTACTCTGGGCCCTGAAAATCCCAGGGTTCAGCAGAATGAAGAGGGGTCACATCCTCAAGTCCTCAAATTCATTTTGGACATGGAAACTGTAAAGAAGGAATCCTGTCTCCACATGCACGCATCAAGCTCCCCACTCAGAAGGAACCTCTTCTCAGTGCTCCCAGCCCTTGGCCTGTCTCACCAAGGCACACTTACCGCCCTGACCAGCAGGGAGCGCTCACAGTGCTGAACAAGGTCTTACCAACTCTGTAGACACAATCCTAGCACAGGGCCTGCAAAGCACATGCTCAGTGAATGTGGGAGGAATGAGTGAATGCTTTCTTTCTTTCTTTCTTTCTTTTTTTTTAGAGACAGAGTCTCACTTTATTGCCCTTCGTAGAGTGCTGTGGCATCACACAGCTCACAGCAACCTCCAACTCCTGGGCTTAGGCAATCCTCTTGCCTCAGCCTCCTGAGTAGCTGGGACTACAGGCACCCACCACAACACCTGGCTATTTTTTTGTTGCAGTTTGGCTGGGGCCAGGTTGGAACCCGCCATCCTCGGAATATGGGGCTGGCACCCTACCCACTGAGCTACCAGGGCCACCCATGAATGGATGAATGCTGTCTGTGTGCAGTATGTCAGTGCCTCACAGTCTGGGCAAACAAAACAGTCACATCTTTAAACACCAATTTAATCCAACTCCAAGACCCCACCCTTCCCATCACTGGAAACTCACTCCCTCAGGGCCTCCCTCTGCAGGTACCTACAAGCCCCCTGGGTCTGCTCCTTCAACCTTGGTTAGAAAAACAGGTCAGCCCAGCTAGCATCACCATGGCAACATAGGCAGTTTGGGCCACTGGGGTAAAAGCATCCGTTGCCTGGCTGCTCCCTGCACCAGGGCCAGGTTCAGAGGGGCCAGCATCAGCCACGCACATGCCAGAGGCAGCTCCTGCCTCTGCCTAGTTTTCTCAGCAAGAATAACTTTCTCCTGGCTGCCCTGGGGCACAGCCAAAGGCACCTCCACGGTCAACAGCAGGGGTTCAGGATGATCTACAGAACATACACTAAACTCTCACTCTCAGCCCTTCATACATAAACTCGCATGAGGAGGGGCCCTAGCCAGGGCCTACTCCTCCATTGGGGACAGTGGGCACAGTGCCAGGAGACTGTGGTACCTTAAAGGAGCCAACAAAAATGTGTTCATTTGGGGCAGTGCCTGTGGCTCAGTGGGTAGGGCACAGGCCCCATATACTGAGGGTGGCGGGTTCAAACCCGGCCCCGGCCAAACTGCAACAAAAAAACAGCCAGGCGTTGTGGCAGATGCCTGTAGTCCCAGCTCCTTGGGAGGCTGAGGCAAGAGAATCGCCTAAGCCCAGGAGCTGGAGGTTGCTGTGAGCTATGTGACGCCACAGCACTCTACAGGGGGTGATAAAGTGAAACTCTGTCTCTACAAAAAAAAAAAAAGAAAAGAAATGTGTTCATTTCTTCAAAATCAATAGGGAAAAAATGAATAGGATCCAAACTGGATTCGATTCATCTTTACACCCACACAGTCATAAAGCATAATTTTAACATTTGTTGTGAGAGGAAGGAGCCGGAGAAGGCAAAAGTACCCCAAGGCCAGGGCCAGTCTCAAGCTTTCTCATGAGAACCAGATGCCAACAGTAGTAACAGTAACAGCAAACATTCACATTGTGCTCACTAGGTACCAGGCACTTTTCCCAGCAGCCGTAGGAGGCAGGGACACTTTTACCCTCACTTTACAGAAGAAGGAGCAGAAGCCCAGAGAGGTTGAGCCTCTAGTACAAGGTCACACAGCTGGGAAGCAATAGTGCTGGGTTTTCCCTCCTTCATGCATCTAGTCCAACCCTAAGCAAAGCGCTCAGCATGCCATCTTCACATCTGAAGCAGATCAAGACCTCAGTTGCTGGGCACGATGGCTCACGCCTGTAATCCCAGCATTCTGGGAGGCTGAGGCGGGCAGATCGCCTGAGCTCACGAATTTGAGACCAGCCTGAGCTAGAGGGAGACCCTGTTTCTAAAAATAGCCAGGTGTAATGGCAGGTGCCTGTAGTTCCAGCTTCTGGGGAGGCTGAGGCAAGAGAATCACTTGAACTCAAGAGTCTGCTGTGAGCTGTGATGCCGTGGCACTCTACCAACAGTGACAAAGAGAGACTCTGTCTCAAAAAAAAACAAACAAACAAACAAAGATGATCTCAGTTTTCTCCAGAGACAATTGTTCAGTAAACAATTGTTCATAAAGGACCCCTTGCAATGTCTCAAAACAAGGAAGCTCCCTTAAAACTGATGTTATCGGCTCGGCGCCTGTGGCTCAAGCGGCTAAGGCGCCAGCCACGTACACCTAAGGTGGCGGGTTCGAATCCCCAGCCCAGACCCGCCAAACAACAATGACAGCTGCAACCAAAAAATAGCC